AAAAAAAAAAGAACTCATAACATCCGATAAGTAAAAAAAAAAAAGTACGTAAAATCTTTACTAAAATAAAGAAGGCTTTATTTATTATCTAAATACTATCTAATTGTATGTAAATATGTTTTGATTTTGTTCAAACCGATTTATTTATATTCTGATTCAGATTTTCTAATAAAATATCAGCAGGAATATATATATATATATGTACTCTACCCATTAGAAATTACAAATCTCAAAATATTGAGCCATCATTTTCTTCACTGTCAACCTCCTGCGAACAAAAAATATCCCCCAATCAGTTTTTTATTCAAAACAATGAATCAAGGATTTTGGTTAATCAAACAAGTCAATATGCTCAAAGTTCGAATTGTGAGAATGTTTTTCCAAGACTGGGGCTGCACATACAAATCATATCTCGAGTTGGTTCTGCATGATAAAAATCATAAGCCAAATTATTTGAATTTTTGTTTTAATTTTGAAATTTGAAACGTATATTTTATTTTTTTTATTTTCGTGTATGTATTTAGATATTTTTGTACATGTTTAGTGAAATATATTTTTGATTTTTTTAATTATATTTTTAAATTTGCAATTTGGCTTATTTATTCTACATATCGTGTATGTATTAGATATTTACATTATTTACATTTATTTTCGTGTATTGTAAAACTTTTATTGAATATTGCATCTTATAGTATAATAATCCCCAAATAAATATATCTCGTGTCTTGCACAGGTCACGTACTATATATATCCCGTACATTTTTCTTTATTCATTTGTATAATTATAAGGTTGGATAAATGGTCTTAAAATTGTGCACCTCGTGCATCGCACGAGCTCTGTACTAGTTTCACTAACAAATATTATCTTATTATTATGCTCCTCCGCAAAATTAAATTGTATAAATTTCATTATGTATTATTATTTTATAATTCGTTGTAAAAATTAAAATATAGGCTAGAATTGTCATTAGAATTCTATTGTAATTATTACATCGCTTTTAAAATTTAACTATTTTCTTGTAATGTTATTTTTCTTTTCAAATTATTGAAATGATTAATATATTCTAATATAACTTTTCAAATTATTGAAATGATTAATATCCCCTCTATATATAATTCCCGAATGCGCTGAATCTACGTGGCTGCTTCTGGTGCTTCAGAATCCTACTTGACAAAGAATCATGCTTCGTAATTACGTTTGGACAAATAATATTGATAAATTAATAATTAATAATCTAGGTTCGGACATTCCATAAATATTATTTAGCTAACTTAGGTATTTTAATATCACTTGTACTAATATAACCCTTTAATTCCTTATATTTTTACATAGTGAGACAGTAAGTGACTAAAATATCCCTGATTTTTGATTTGTTTCCTTCAATTAGCTATTGAATTATAAATGTATTTTAAAAGTTGATAATTTTTATATTTCTTATCGATTTTATATATATAATATATCAAATTAATCATCTTTTAATGATCTTCGATTTGACATCCATATCCCCTCTATATATAATTCCCGAATGCGCTGAACCTACGTGGCTGCTTCTGGTGCTTCGGAATCTTACTTGGCGAAAAATCATGCTTCGTAATTAGGTTTGAACAAATAATATTGATATATTAATAATTAATAATCTAGGTTCGGACATTCCATAAATATTATTTAGCTAACTTAGGTATTTTAATATCACTTGTACTAATATAACCCTTTAATTCCTTATAATTTTACATATTGAGACACTAAGTGACTAAAATATCCCTGATTTTTTATTTGTTTCCTTTAATTAGCTATTGAATTATAAATGTATTTTAAAAGTTGATAACTTTTATATTTCTTATCGGTTTTACATATATAATATCAAATTAATCATCTTTTCATGAACTTCGATTTGACATCCATATTGTATATATCAAATAAATAATTATATTCATCTTTATAATAATAAAAAATAATAATATTTATTAAAGTTTATTAGAAAAATAAAATTATTACTCAGTTGATATATTTATGTCTAATGTAGTTATATGTTGTAAGTAAAAAAATTTATTATAATATAACACAAGTAAGTCACACAAAACAAGTGTCATACTAAAAATATTATAATATATATATGTTTTTATAAAAATATTTAAATTTTCACCTATTTTTTCTCATTAATTTTAGATTTTAAGGAAAAAAATTGGCGAGCACCCATGTAATACACGAGCGTTGTACTCGTATTCTAATATAACATAAAGTCAGTTGATCAGCTTATAATTGATGTAGATTTCCTTTTCCTTTAACATAGTTTTTTGTTTATTTAAATAAAAAATAAATTAACTAGTGGAAAAAAAAAATAGTCGTGTGTGTTTTGTCCTATATTTGTTTTATTTATTAGTTTAATTATGAATAATCTTTAAACGGTGGGCCGTGGCCATCATGCAAGGAGAACCACAAACAGCTCCTGATGTTCATGTTTTATAATTATATATTAATAATGCAAGCTAATTAAAATGGAAAATCATATGGCTTAGGTTAATATATGGTGACAAGTAACAACTACACATTTATAATATAATGTGTATTATGTATCCATTTCAACTAATCTATTATTATTATCATTATTATTAAACAAATTTCACTTATATAATATGTAAACATGAGTTCAAATGCACACTAAAAAAAATTGTCATATTCTAACTAAATATCTTAGTTAAATATTTCAATAGAAATTTAAACGAATATTCTAATGGTATAGTTTTCGTTGGAAAATTTCAACGAAAAATTCCGTATTAATGCGTTTTTCATTGGGATTTTAAATGGAATTTGATAATTCGAACAACTATTTTTCCAAATGTTTTCTACCATAAGAATTTTTGTTGAGATATGGAATTTTCGCTGGATATCTATTTGCACTTATATTTCAATCGTTGGAAAATCTACGGTTGGAATTATTAAAATCCAACAAAAATTCTAATGGAAA